TTATTTCCGCTTAAGCTTTAATTCTTGGAACTAAGTGTTCTAATTTATTCTGAAACCTCCCCGACAAGTCACATAATTATAATTTGACATAGGATAAGCAGTAAATGGGAGAACGGGACTGTAATATTCAAAACGACCGGCCGGGTCATTTCAGGGATGTACTACTTGATTTAGTTGGTTTTATTGGTTATTAGTTGCTCTATTTGTAGATGTTAGTTTCATTTTTTATTAACAGATTGTATATATTATGCCTTGTTGTTACTTTTTAACTTCTTGCTCTAAACATAATTTGTAGCTTCAATGTAGTCAGTTGTTATATATGTTTACTAATTTTGTAACTTACTTGTATGAAATGTATTAATATTTTTCTCATTGTAGCTAAATTATAGTAGAAATGTATTTATTTTGTTTTTTGGTCTTCAAACAAGTTTTATTAACTTATTATTTCTTTTGGTGTAGAATCGAATATTTTTTGCACCATATGATATTGATTATGGCATCACTAGGTTCCAGACATTATCCGACCCTGTTGTTCCTGGCCAAATCAAGGTGTTATTGTCTGAAAATGGGTTAAAGTTGTTTAAAATGATATGTTTTGGGAATTTTCTTTTCCTGCCTAAAATATGTATCCAAAATCAGGCAATTCACCTCCTCATAAAGTATGAATTGAATACATCCGGTTCTGATTTTTTACAGTAGAAATAAAGGGTGAGAGGCTGAACTTTGGGTTGAGAGAGTTTGCCCTTATCACTAGCCTTAAATGTTTTACATAAGTGACGTACTTTGGTTACACAACTAAGTATGATAGTAAAATAATGAGAAGTTATTTTTCGAACAAGAAAAAAGTTGAGAAGTCATACTTGAAACAAATTGTAACCAGTCGTAGTTGGGTGAATGATGATGATGCACTCAAGCTGTGTATTCTCTATCTGATAGAATTCTTCCTCTATCCTTCAGAGAAAGATAATGGTTTGATAGACCATTTTAGGTTCTACTTGGTGGACTCGGGGTAGTATGCGAATTTCGCATGGGGTATCAAAGCTTATACATAATTGCTTCAATCCGTTAGGCACAAGCTCAACCCTTCTATGCATTTTTATATCATTCGAGGTTTTGCACTCGCTATGAAAATATGGTTGTATAAGTGTTGCTCTACAGTCAACACTAATATAGCTACAAGGGTTGGTAATTCGGTCCCCCGCATACTTAACTGGACAGCTAGTAAGGACAAGATATGGATATTTGTATTGGAAGATAGAATGATCAAACCATCATGGATCAAGGTAAATATTTTTCACTTCTTGATAGACAATTTAATACAAATTATCTACACATTTTATACATATTATGACTAGGTCCCTCACATTTGTTTCACTCAGTTCACCAATATGCTTGAAGCCCCAGAAGAGTTTTCAAGAATGACTTTGCCAGACAAAGTTGAATACATCCTTGAAGAAGCTGAAACAAAGGCCGAGCATCCGACAGATGCTCCATTTCCATATGGACATAAGTAGGCAATAGGAATAGATGACAAGAAAGATATTGTGAAACAATTAAAAGAAAATAAGAAAAGATGTTGATAAAGTAACCTCTTAAGATAATCCTAGCTGGTTTCTTTAATTTATGTTATGAAAATTATTTCTTTAACTCTTTCTATTTTAATACATAGGTCGGTTCAGACCTTCGAACCTTCAAGAAAGAGGTATACCTAATTCTTTATTTTTAGTCTTCTTTTATGTGTGTGTGTGTGTGTGTGTGTGTGTGTGTGTGTGTGTAAGCCTCTAATTCTCAGATATATTATAACAATTTTTTGTTCTTTAGGTTTTTCAAGAACTAGGTAGCATTCGACTGCTACTCAATGATTCCATTAAGTCTATGTTACAGGCAATAAAAAGTCAACAGGATATGAACATTGATGCTAAGGTTTTATTCGAAATATATTCATTTTGGACAACAATTTTTACCATATTTATGTTTATAATAGCATTCATCAAGTACATAGCCTAACAAATTCCCAATACAGTTTACTAGTAGTTCTACGAAAAATGATGAGCATTACAAAGAAAAGAGCAAACAACAAAATCCGGGCAGTAGTGCTAAACCAGTGTTGGCCAACAGCAGTAAAACAAGTATTTTAACAATTTTAACACAATTCGATGACAAATAATCTACATTATATTTATATTATATCTATATTATATCTACATATAGCCTAAATTATCAGCAAATAATCTACATTATATTTCCAATTGATTCTCTTAGATACAGGGCACATGTCTGACATTCAAAATGAGAAGAATTTTCATGTAGGTGTTGACTTATCTTCCCAATTTTAAGGGGAATTGGAGGAAGAAATCGCAGGTATGATTTAGTACATTTTATCTACATATTTCACAATACATATTACATCTGAGCTACATGACAACATTTAAACAAATTAACTACAATTTATCTACAGTGTTATTTCTGTTTATTACAAATGATCTACAATTTTATTAAATTATACACATTTATTGTAACAGAGAAGGAAACAATGCATGTGGACTCTCCAAAATAGGATGTAAAACTTGGCATACAATGAGAGCATTTAAATGAGGAGAAGGAGACTATGCCTTTGCAATCTCCCATTCAACAAGCAAATGTTATACAACAAGGAGATGATTGCAATGAAGATTTCACTAGTATTATATGTTACAATATAATTGTAGGAAAAAAGTAACAACTTTCATATAAGTTTCAGTTTTCCCAAAAAGACTAATGCAACCAACATACAATGTTGTTCTTTTGTTTTAAATTTTATAGGTGAACCAGCCGACTACATCAATGTAGATGATTCGGACAATGACTCCGGGTCTGGGAAAAGGGCAGTAACACTTGATAATTTTGAGCTTCTAGAGAACTTCTCACAGATTGTTAAGTTCGGAGTGGTAAATGAAGATGAAACAACCTTTGTGCATCAGGGAAGAACAACGGTTCCTGGAAAGCATGCCAGATCTCCCTTTCTCTCTTATTTCAGTTCTGGGGGAAGCACTTCTGTTGGACCTCCAATTTTCAACATCGAGAATCTATTTACTGGGGTTATTGGTGACGATGTTGATCCTGACTTGTTGGAAGAATTCAATAAGTGGTTATATTTAGGTACCGACAAGGTTTCAAATAGGTTAGATTATACAATATTTTCATATTATTGAGGGCATACAATTTATGGATTTCAAACTGAAACTATATAATAATTGTACTTGTTATGACTTTAAATAAGAGGAAGGCGACTTATACTTTAAAACATAACCAGCTCAACCCGTGGTTTGATCTTGGAGTGGAGAAATTTGATAAAAAGGATTAGTTTTATACTTTGGCACATCCCGGGCAAGTACTCAACAACACGGTACACACATACCCTGGAAGAATTTAATGATTAGCTATAGTATTCTGTTATTTTATAAATATGTAGATTTTTTGTTTGAAAATTGTATTTAAGGTGTATGAAGCATTGAGAAATAATGAAATCTATTTTTTTACACCACATTGATGTTATTTTATACTATTTGAGGAAGAGAAGAAAGTATGGTCCTGAAAACAAAATATGGTTTACAACCACTGTCTGTATATTCAAGACTAGAATTGAACAGATTTATGAGAGGTACATTAATGCTCCTACCGATAAGAAGCTTATTATTGTAAAACCCCAGGACGTCGTAGAAGAATACATATTCGGGTACCGATTACTTGAAAATGTTGCATGGGATAAAGTTGATTTTGTGATTATGCCCATAAATATTGTGAAGAAATTTTATTGGTTATTGGCTGTGTTTGACATCACCGATAGGGTTTTATATGTTTATGATTCTATGGTCTCTTCACGAAATTACAAACTTATTGAATCTGTTGTCGACAAGTTTTCTACTATGATCCCCCTCTACTTGTCATGCACCGACTTCTATGGCAAGCGTCCAGACATTAACTACAAGAACACAAAAGCATACATTGAAAAGGGTATTACTAACCCTCTTGACATTCAGTGGTTTGTCGGTGAGATGCCCCAGCAAAAAGTAGGATCACTATATGTGTTGCTTTCCTTCTATCTATTTAACCAATTATTTTTTTACATTGAATGCTAAATCTTTTTTCCTATCATTTTTGCAGTGAATGTGGTGTATACGTGGAAGCATTTGAAGAATATGTCAGTATTGGAGAGCTATCGATTTCAAAGGAAGACCTTTCTGATATTGATTAACATTGTCGACACTATGAAGCGTTCATTTGGGATTATGGTAGAAAAAAGCAAGAGCTTGGTGCAATTAGTGAAAGTGAGGTGACGGGAAGATTAGCAAGAAGAAAAGGTGCACCAGCTGTGAACGAGAGAATACAAATCCGGAAAAAGCAGAATTAGTTTCCATTTTCAGTAGAAAGATTATAGTTAAAGTATTTAGATGTAGCTAGATTGTAGTAAAGTTGAAGACAAATTATTTATTAAGAAGGAGTCAACTGCAATTTATTTGTAGCATATTTGTGCTGCAGTTGTTTTACCTTTTATTTTGTTATTTTATCCAGAATTTTACTACATAGAATAGAAAATATTTGTGGCTTTGTTTTTGTTGAAAGTTGTTAGTACTTGATCTCGATATTGGTACTATATAATTTCTTTACATCATAACTACAATTATGTCTATAATTACTATACAAAAATACATAATCTATTCAATTTAGCAGTGTTGTTAGGAAAGGCTGAAAGTAATAAATAAACCTAGTATTTGAACAAAACAACTACAAACCAATTGTATTAAGAGTTGAAATCTGTTTAGCAAACATTTATTATAGGAGACAATCTTTATTCAAATTAGCAACATAATTACACCATAACTACAATTCTCCAGAACAAAACAAATACAACTTCATATGTCTTAAAAGACAGATTATCATGAACAGTACTCAGTGAAAAAAAAACTTTAAACTGTATCAATTTTTATTTTCTTTTGGGAGCATTCCTACAAGATCTTTTGTTATGCCCTTCTAGTCCGCAGTTGCCACATGAAACCTTGTAATTTTTTTGTATTTACTTCATCATATGATTTGTATATTTGTTTTTGAGGTCTCCCTGGCTGCCTTTTCCCTGTAGGTGGCTTTACAACTTCTTCAGCTATATGTTGTGGCACATTCCATTTGCTTTTGTCAGGCAGCGGGTCTACTGGTATTTCATAAGTATGCATAAGGCTCTCCCTCGTGTAATAAGAAGAATAATAGTTTTCATAAGACTCATTCCTATGCCTCAAAGATACCAAAGCATGTTCACAAGGAAGTTCATCAAGCTGGAATTGTCCAATGAAGTGCTTCACACCATATATCACAGTATGGATGTAATCAGCTGATGCCCTTACCTACAATTTTATTACAAACACACAACAAGTTGTCAGCAACAGATAGAAACAAAATAACTACAATTATACAACAATATTTCTATCAATTAACAGTATATATTTAGTATGTATGGAATCAATGATCTGATGTTATTGGCTATATCTTACTCTCATCTTCTACGATAATGTCTTGTTGTCCTCCAACTCTTTGTTGTATTGTTCCCAAGGTGTGTGAACGTACCCTTTGCATTCAATAACTTTTCATTAGTCCAACGTTCAAGAAGAGTCCTCATGTACTCTAACAGTTCTACTATGGGCAGCTCTCTTGCATATTTGGTTACCGCATTTTGATATCATCGTCTATGTTCTGTTCACCGTAGCATGTATCCGAGACCATCTGTGATAGCCAATATCATATATGTAAGCTTTAACATGTGTGTCGATGTAACGAACCAACCAATCATTTTGATTTTTAGATTCTCGTTCCCCTAAATAAGACTCTTCGTATGTGATTTTACTATTTTATGAACTACGGGGACGATTGGTTCGGTTTTTGAAGGGTTTGGGTTGAAATCGGAACGCTTAGTTCCTTAGTTGGCTTTTAAAATGCTAAGTTTGATTTTGGTCAACATTTTTAGTAAACAACCTTGGAACCGGGATTTGACGGTTCCAATAGGTTCATATGATGATTTTAGACTTGGGCATATGCTCGGATCGGGTTTTGGATGACCCGGGAGCGTTTCGGCGCTTAATGTTGAAAGTTGGCTTATTGAAGGTTTAAAAGTTCTTTAAATTTATTTTGGAGTAGGTTTTGGTGTTATCGAGGTCCGTTTATGATTTCGAGCCTCGGAATAGCTCTGTATGGTGATTTAAGACTTGCACGCAAAATTTGGTGTCATTCCGAGTAGTTTAGGTATGATTCGGCGCGTTCGGAGCGAATTGGAAGAACTTGAAGTTCATAAGTTGATCCTATTGGTTTTGGGTTGCGATTCTTACTTCTAATGTTGTTTTCCACGTTCCAAGGGTGTGAGCGAGTACGTTTTATGTTTACGAACTTGCTGGTATATTTCGACGAGGCCTCGGGTGCAATCCAGACAATGCACGGATCGAATTAGGACTCAAAAGGGCTGCTGGTGCACTAGTTCTGGTGTGCCCGCACCTGCGAGCTTATAGACGCAGATGCGAGCTTGTGGCCACAGAAGCAGCTTTGGAGAATTTGGCCAAAGGCTGCAGAAGCAGCCTCGCTTCTACGATGACTAGCCCGCATGTGCGATAGGGCCGCAGGTGTGCTTGACCAACACCAGAAGTGGTATGATGTTCACAGAAGCGGCCAGTGCTAGGCCTAGGGAATTCTGCAGAGGCGGACCTTTCTCCGAAGAAGCGGCGACGCAGATACGGCCTATGGACCGCAAATGCGAAAGTCCTGGAGGCAGTGAGGTCCATTTATTTTCGACTTAGGTCATTTTTGTTTCATTTATTTCACTTATTAAGGCTATTTTAGAGCTTCCTAGAGAAAGCTTTCCACCTAGCTATTGGAGGTAAGTAATCTCTATCCTATGTAAGTTAAATACATAGATTATAGATAGATTTTAACATGAAAATTTGTGAAAAATTATGAGTTTAGATGAACGGCCCTAGGTTTTTATAAAAATGGGGTTTACCCATGAAAATGGTTATGGGATTGAGTGAAAATTATATATTTGAGTTCGTGAGGTTATAGGTAACATCTTTCTTCGAAAATTTCCTAAATCTAGGCACGTGGGCCCGGGGTAAAATTTAAGAACCTTCCAATTTGGGTTGGATAATTACTCTAATAGTTAAATTATGAACTTTGAAACATATATTGATTAATTTATACAATATTTGACTAGTTTCGTAGTTTTCGGCACCGAGTTGAGACTATAGAGCGAATTTGAGACCGGAAAGCAAGCTTTGAGAGAAGGTAAGTCTCTTGCCTAACCTTGTAAGAGGTAATTTACCCCATAGGTGATTTAAATCGCTATTTGATTCTAATTGTGGGGGCTACGTACGCACGAGGTGATGAGAGTCTGAGCGTAGCTACTAACTATGCTTATGTCTGGGTAGCTTAGGACCTGAATCATGAAATACTTGTAATATTTGCACCCTACTCGTCAATTAAAGTGCCTAAATTATATCGGAACTTGTTAGAGGAATTGCAAAAGACCGAATTTCACTTATTGAGTTTTGGCGGGTTGCTTGACCCTTAATAAAATTTGTGTTTCATTGTACATTAGCCTTGTATTAGCTCTTAAACCGGTTGTTTATAAAGTATCCTCTCTTCTTGTGGAGCGGGCCGAATGCCTCAGCAGTAGATATATGCATCTATGGTTTATGTCGCTCGACCCTCGGTAGTGTAAACATTATTCTGGATCGGGTCGTACGACCTCGGCATAATCGTGTGTGATAACACTTGAAGTGTAATCATATATTTGATATCTTTTTCCTGGCTTGAGAGGCTAAGATTATATAAGATAGAAATGTATTTGGGACTTTCCATGCATGAAAGAATTATTTACTTTCTGCTTGTTATTGAGTTATCATTATTATTTACATAAACTATGCTTATTTAGAATTATTTCTTTACTGTTAGCCCATAGTAAGTGTCGATGTCGACCCCTCGTCACTACTTCTTCGAGGTTAGACTTGATACTTACTGGGTACATATTATTTATGTACTCACACTACACTTCTGCACTAACCGTGCAGGATCTGAGGCAGGTACAACTGGCAGTCACACCGGTGCGCATCCCCGATACGCTGAGGCCTAGTGGTGAGCTGCTTCCTGAGCCGTTCTGCAGCACCTAGAGCCTTTCTTTTGTACTTATTTTATGTCTATGTTATTTCAGACAGTAGTTAGAGTTTAATATATTCTACTGGTGCTCATACACTTGTGACACTAGGTCTTGGCACACACTCTAGTAGACCTTATGATTTTGAAATATTTATATATCGATGATTGCACTCAATTGCTTTCGTTTTATTTATTAAACTTCCTACTTCTTAAATCTCTTAATAAATGGAATTTAAATTACTTGGAAACCTATTAAAAGGAGTAATCACGTAGTTATTTTATTGTTGGCTTGCCTAGCGGCGACGTTGGGTGTCATCACGGCCTATAGGAGAGATTGGGCCGTGACAGTCGATCTCTTCAATCTTTGACATTCTTTCATTAAATTCACCAAGCATGTATGATCGTGTTGTGGCAAAGTACAATTCATTTAACTTTAGATGACCCTTCTTGAAACTTGACCATACATTTGTCCAAATATGCCACATGCAAGCATAATGTGGCATGCCGGTATAAACAGTAGATGTTACCTTCAAGATACTCTCATTCCGATCTGAAACAACACACATATTTAGTTTTTCACCATATGCATGTTTGAATTGCTCGAAAAACTACCTCTATGATGCGTCATTTTATGAAACAACAACGGCGTATGCTAGTGGTAATATGCTACCTATCACACAGGTGGCAAAAAGAAATTCAATTTCTGTAATAGAATTTGAGATTAAAAAAAATACAGTATCAAAAATAACTTTATAACAATATTTTTACAATTAATCTACATTTACCTGTTGCATGCATTGTGCTAGTTGTTAGCATGATTCCCCTATATGCCGACTTCAAGAAGGTGCCATCAACTACTACAACTGGACTACAATGCTCTCAACCCTTGAAGGACGTACTAAGTGCAACAAATGCATACAAGAAACAGTCATCTTCAGTCTTCTGCAATGTCACTACCGACCCCGGATAAGTCTTCTCCAGAATATACAAATAACTCGGTAGGCGACTGTAGGAATCAGCAGGATGACCTCTCAAAAATTTCAAAACCTTTTCCTTTGCTCTCCAGGCTTGCATATATGTTAAGTTCACACCATGATCTGACTACATGTCAGTTTGTATGTCTTTTGGTGTGTATATTGTCTTAGGATCCGCATATTTTGGCATCACCATGCTGCCAACTACCATGGCAGTAGGTTTGCATTGTATGTATGTGTTTTCCATCAAAGAGCATGTGTGCAAGCTGTTAAATTTTCGAACCTTGAACAATGTTGATTCATTTATGCTTGTGGACTTGAAGTGCCACGTACAATTGTCCCCAACACATACGAGGCAGTAGCTACAGAGAAAAAATAATTCAAAAATGTTATGCAAATTGTAGCTACAAAATACGAGGTTGTTTATGCACAAAAACTTATCTTGAACAATTTATATATAAAAACACTACAACTTATACACACTATGAATTATACAAATAAAGTATTTCTACCTTCTTGCACTAGAACTTTTCACCCTAAATTGAAACTTATTTATGACAGAATAGTGCTTCATTGCACTGACAATTGTTTGCTTGTCTTGGTAAACTTGGCCTACTTCAATTACATTTGGCGTATGTTTTGTTATGATGATACTTTCATATTCCACAATTGCCGGAAATGTTTGCATATCAATCAAATATGTTTCCTTGATTATATGCGATGATTGCGTCAGTAAAATCTCTAAGCGATCCCAAAATCCCGCGTCTAAATAAGGAAGACTATCGCAGAAAGGATTCTAGTTTAAACAAATGTATATATTTTGTAGCTAAATCGTGTTTAGGTCGGGTAAATTCAAAACTATGAACATTTTTCGTAATAAGGTTTCAAATAGTATATAGGAACGAACAAATCCCAAAAGAAAACATCAAAGCCTCAAAGGACAAATGTATAACTTCCCTCTTAAATTTGAGATATACGGAGCCCTGTTGTCACGGCCCAATTTTTCCTCCGTTTGGGTATCCTGATGGCACCTAGTCTTAGGGACTAGGTAAGCCTAATATTAATTGAAACAACATTATTTAAATAATATCTAACAATTTGAAATAGAAATCTCTTAAACTTTACAATTCCCAAAACCCGATAGTACAAGTCATAAGTTCTACAAAGTGTTTGCTAGAAAGCTTCTAAATACAACACTCCAGAAATAAGAATAAACAGTGCAAAATGAAAACTTGAAGGTGACTCTGAATCCTGCGAACGCAGCAGCAGGTTTACCTTGAGTCTCCACAGCAACGACCCGCACAGCTACTAACGAACAATACCTGGATCTGCACAAACATGTGTAGAAGTGTATAATGAGCACACCACAGCGGTGCCCAGTAAGTATCAAGGCTAACCTCAGTGGAGTAGTGACGAGGTACAATCAAGACACTCACTAGTCAAATAACCTGGGTCATACTAAAATAATCGAGAACAAATAGCAGTGATATAAACAGTAAGGGAGCAAGAACACCACAATTATTACTCCAACAAATAAGAAAGAATACAAGTACAACCAAATAAATAAGTCTTTCACATAAGAACACTTCAAATAAAATACCCTCCAAATATATATTTCTTCAAATAAGTATCCTTCGAATATAAAACTATTTCAAATAAATATCTTTAAAAATATAATTCTTCAATTTAAAAGTCATCCTGTGACACCTCATTTCATAATCACCAAATACGGGTCTCAACCCACCTTTATATTTCCACGGCACCTCGTGCCCATATTTCTATCAAAACTGCACAGATTACTCACGTGCCAATAATATCAATGTATATAAGATCCACATGATCAATTTATTCCCAATAAAGTAAGTTTAAAATTTTTAAATCAAGTAGGAAAACAACTAAAGAATGAATTTATTTTAGAAATCATTTGGGAGGAGAAAATAACATTTCAATAAAAATGAAACACCTCATAGTTGTTAATTTGGATGTGAAACTTATAAGAATTAAAGCATGCAAAAATTTCTTTTATTCAAAACAACTTAACCTTAAAAATTAGTAAAAACTAGAAACACAAATCCTCAGAGTATCGTACAAGAGCCAAAGCCAACATATTACAACAAGGAATACAAACACGCAATAAAATCAAATAATACATCATGGAAGAACACAAGGATTTACATATCACGGAAAAATAAAATAACCAAAGAGAAGTGCAACCATAGAAAAATATGCAAGACATGGGGATCTCCCGAGGTACGGCCTCATAGTCCGAAAAGTAAATATGCAAGACAGAAGGATCTCCTGGAATACCGTTACGTAGTTCCAAAGTAAATATGCAGGGCAGGGGGATCTCCCGGAATACCGTTCCGTAGTCCCAAAATAAATATGCAGGATAGGGGGATCTCCCGGAATACCGTTCTGTAGTCCCAAAATAAATATGATTTCAACAACTTCACATCAAGTTCTCACAAATCACAAATGGCT